CCCTTATTTCTAAATAAGGTTATATTCTGAGGTTTCAGTAGACATGAATTTTGCAGGGACACTATTCAACCCAGTACATGTACCTTGACTGTACCAGTGTTAATATTATGGCTGTGATATGGCACTACAGTTTTGTAAGCTCCTCTCATTGGCAGAAACTGAGTAAAGGATATAAAGATTCTGTCAAATTATAATTTTATATGAATCTACAATATAATTTAAGAATTATGTATTAGTTATCTTTAGGGTTATATCTTTGGTATACCTCATTGGCCATACTGATAGAAACAGAAGTATTGTTTATTTCCTAAAATATTTTTTCCATTTGTATACTGTAAACATACAAAATATAAAAAATTTTAGGCCTATAAAAATGCACCAGACTCATTATTTAAATTTGTTTTGGTAACCCCAGAAAAGTTTTGACATTCTTATGTGACCTTGTGAAGCATGCAATATGTATTTAATTGAATATCCTTTAAATCATTTAAGAGCAGTAAAATGTCTTTATTTTCAAGAAATCAACAATAAGCCTTTTAAAAATATATATATAATATTTATTTCTTTGGAACTTGTCCTGGATGAACAATTTCTTAAGTAGTAAGTTTTAAAAGTGTAAAGACTGAGCCATTCCGAGAAATTCATATCTCAATATCTGAGAATATGGGATCAGCAGTAAACACAATATTATATAATAAAGATTTACAGGAATTATATCCCACAAGTATAAACTTGAACCAGTAAGTTCTCCTGGATCTGTCCTTTATTTCATTAACTGAATCACACTGATTCCAAATAACTCGTGCAAGTACAAAGATGTGATTGACTTACAGTTTTTCAGGAACTCAGCTAGTATCTGTGATTTACGTTAATCGATATTTACTCTATTTACAAAAACCTATAATGAAAATCACGAAAGGAATAGAATTATACACAAATAAATACTGTCTTTCTGTTTCTTTGATTAATGAAAAATATGAGGGTACTTCAAAAGTTGTGGAAAAGTAGAGTTTAGAAAATAATACAAATCTTTCCATGAACTTTTTGAAGTACCCTCGTGTGTGTGTATGTATGTGCACACCTATAACATAGAGGTCATTTTCTAAGAGTTGTTATCTCAGTGTTGACTTGAACAGCTCAGCAGCTGAGCAGCCCACCAGAATGTTTTGCTTCATCAATACCTCTTCAAGCTTTTATTCATCAAGTTTCTTTTTTAATAGCTCAAGATTTTATGACTGATTATTCTATTTGATTCATTAAAAATACACCAAAAGCTAGGGGCCGGCCCGGTGGCGCACTGCTACAGTGCGCTGCTTGGGAGCGCGGCGGCGCTCCCACCGAGGGTTCGGATCCCACATAAAGACCGGTTCCCGCTCACTGGCTGAGCGAGGTGCGGGCGCAACACCGAGGGTTGCAATCCCATTGCCGGTCCCGGTCCTGGTCCGGTACGGGTGCAAGCACTGAGGGTTGCGATCCGTTGCCAGACACGAAAAAAGACAAAAAGGAAAAAAAAAAAAAATACACCAAAAGCTAAAATTAAGCTTCCAAGGAAAATGTCCAGGAAGTAGAAGCACAATGTCTTAACCCATTTCCTCAATAAAACCATGTTTCCCTCCTAAAGTTTTCAACTTTATGTATAAAAAAACTTCAGGCTCTAATATTCTTCACAATTGTATGCCCAGTAAACTTCACTTTATAGTAACTATTATTTCCAAAACAATATAATAACGCCAATGTTTAAAGTAACTTTTAATCAATTGAATGAAAAAAAATTAGGTCTCTATTACACAAAACCTCTAATTTAAATGATAGCCTGAAAGATTCCACAAGTGGAAGTAATTTCTTATGGCAATTTGCATTTAGTTTTGCTACATGCCATAGACTGCTCTACCTATAAAGGTTGTAAAAATAATACATTTTTCTTTTTTTTTTTTTTTTTTTCCTTTTTTTTTTTTTTTTAAAGTAACTTTTAATCAATTGAATGAAAAAAAATTAGGTCTCTATTACACAAAACCTCTAATTTAAATGATAGCCTGAAAGATTCCACAAGTGGAAGTAATTTCTTATGGCAATTTGCATTTAGTTTTGCTACATGCCATAGACTGCTCTACCTATAAAGGTTGTAAAAATAATACATTTTTCTTTTTTTTTTTTTTTTTTCCTTTTTGTCTTTTTTCGTGACCGGCAACGGATCACAACCCTCAGTGTCGCGCCCATACCGGACCGGGACCGGCAACGGGATCGCAACCCTCGGTGTTGCGCCCGCACCTCGCTCAGCCAGTGAGCGGCCGTTCTGTATGTGGGATCCGAACCCTCGGCGGGAGCACCGCCACACTGCCAAGCGGCGCACTGTAGCAGTGCGCCACCGGGCCGGCCCAAAAGAATACATTTTTCAAAGAACCTATTTCTCACTCTTAACTCATCAACATGGAGTATTCTGCTTTTGCATCTTAGCTAATCTATTGGCAAAAAAATAAGATTATTTTGTTTGTTGATTACTAGTGAAGTTAATCATGTTTTTCTATATTTTCTGGCTATTTGTATTTCCACTTCTGTGAATTGCTTGTCCATTGCCCACGGGTGATATTTTCTTTTGGTTTTCGTAAGGCTTCTTTTTTATACTAAAGATATTAACTCTTTCTCTGAGGCATTTGTTGCAAATATTTTTTCTTGTTTGTTTTTTGCCTTTTACATTGCCTATCAAGTAGAGAACTAGTATCCATTGTTTTAATTTATATTTCTGACTACTGGTGAATTTGAGCTGATTTTTATTGATGTTAAGTATAATGGTTTTTTTTAAATACTTCAAATGGCTTTGTTTTAAAATGTTTGCCTGCTGTCAAAAATCAATGTTCTTTTAATTAAACAAATATGTAAAAGGAAACTGGTTTAAGCAGGTACTAATGAAATCTGGTTAAACTTGAATATAACTATATAAGATAAAAGGGCAAAGCATTAAAATTTTCATATATTTATTTCATATATTTAAAATTTCCTGTATTTAAAATATTTATGTATTTTCATTTTATATTTCATAAAAAATAATACATTTTTATGTGAAGTATGTATCATTGATGTTGTTATTTTTTATATTCAGAAAGTGAAGAATTGATTTCTGTATTTTCTGTCATTAGTGTGCTAAGTACTTTCACTGTTGGAAAGCAATAAATTTAATCAGTTTTGGCTTTGGCTGACATTGTGATGCACATTTGCAGCAATCCTGATAAACTTGAGTGAGAATGCTCACTGGTTCCAGGCTAAGCAAATTAGAGGTGTCCAATCATTTATTCACTGCACTGTAGTTGGGGAGTGCGGAGGGGAGAAAATAAGCAATAGGAGGAGGAAAAAGGAAAAATAGTACCTGCAAAATATTTTTTTATTATACATGTTTATGGGGTACCGTTTGTTGTTTCAATACATGCATATATTGTATAATGATTTAATCAGAATAGTTAGCATATCTATCGCCTAAATATTTATCTTTTTTTGTGTGTGGTTATAACATTCAAGATCCTCTTTTCTGGCTATCTTGAGATATACAATACAATATTATTAGCTATTGTCACCGGAGAGCACCAGAACTTATTCTTCTTATCTAACTGTGACTTTGTCCAAACTTTCCCCAGCTCCCACCTCTTCCTTTCCTTTTCCTACCTCTGGTAACCACTATTCTACTCTCTATTTCCCTCTTTTTTTCTCTTTTTAATTTACTTATCTTGATTGACCCATGAACAAAAACAGCAGTAAAAGAAGTCAATGCAATCGCCTTTAGGAAGCATTTATGATTGTGTGTTCTTGCGTGTACAGAAACTTAAGTTTAAGTATAAACGGACATATTACGTATTTTTATTTAAAAGTTAGGATAATATAGCTTAAAATACTTTAATTTCTCTGTGAGTTTCTAGACACAATCCCATGAAGTTGGAATTTGATAGTCCTTTCACATAAGGAGAATGAGAGATATCTAAGCCTCCATTATTTAAGTCCTTCAATTATCAGAGTGAAACAGGAACTAGGTTTTATTCAAGAATATGTATGACCAAGACATTTACTTGTTAAATTTTTTATAACAAAAGTAACTAGAGCTATTAAAATAGATAAATGGATAGATGATGGATGGATGGATGGATAGATAAGTAGACAGACAGAATACAGATAAACTTGATTCTCTTCTGTACTTATAGGTTTAAATATCTTCCTCATTTAGTTATTTTTAGCCAGTTCTGGGTTCAGAATTATGTATGTATCTTGACATTAATGGTCAAATACATGTGTGTACAACAGAACAAAACTGCAAGCAGCAATCAAAAATAGAAAAGCAAGGACAAGCAGCAATTATAGATACTTCATTGGTCAACTTATGAACAAACATAGATAATTATAAGTTCTTTCCTCACCAATTCTTAGATTTCGGTCACATATGCAGATAATATATTCTGCAAAAGTTCTGTAAAGCATTGGGTGAGTCAGACAGCTAGAGACTCACCCCATTTGAACTTTTTCTTCATCATATTCACCTGGTATTTCTCAACACCTGTGGACCAAAAGGGATGGGAGATTACTCCACCAGAAGCCACTTGGTGGACATTTTTTCCATATGTATTAAAGCTATAGTCTTCCCTCCTACTGTGTTTAGTCCTCTAAAGCAAATTCCACTGTCTTAGAATCTAGGTTAGCATTTTAGAGATAACCTTAAGGATTATTTTGCTGCCTAGGAAAATTACATTCAGCATTGTTAATTGCATGACTAATTAGTGCTAAAGCTGATAATCAAATAATTTCCAAGACTTCTGGTCCAGTTTCCTTTGACTACACTACACTGCTTTTTTTCCCACTTGTCTTTTTATTCTCAGGATGTAGCTGAGAAGCATTGGAATAATGTTTTGGTTGCACTTCTTTAAGCATGTTCCTTCTCCATACATGCCAAAAATTCATATTGTTGACCATGTAATTTTCTTTTGTTTAATTCTTAAGAGATGTCTGTATTTTTCTCCCAACAGCTTCAAAACCAGTGGACATGAAATTATGCACTGGCCCTGTCCCTAATACTACACAGCTGTGCCACATTCCTTGTCCAATTGAATGTGAAGTTTCACCTTGGACAGCTTGGGGACCTTGTACTTATGAAAACTGTAATGACCAGCAAGGCAAAAAAGGTATGTAATATTAACATGGCGTTCTTGAAACTCGCATCAATTGAGTCAGATCATTAATTATTTTAAAAATTTTATTCTGTGTTCCTGGTGATTATTTGTTTATGATATTTTCCAAAATGGTTAAAGAGTATTGATTTCAAAAGATGAATAAACTTACTCTGATGATGGTACCAGAAAATTTAAATGGAAGAATGTAGACAAGATGCTTGTTAATTTAGACAACATGATGTAGAACATCTGCAACCGTTTAGTGCAGCGGTTAAGATGAGCTTCGGTGTCAGACTGATCTGGATTGGAAAGCCTACTCTGTTCCTTACTGTTTAGATAAGTTAATTAACTTACCTAAATCTTTGTCCCCTTATCTGTAAAAGGGATGTAATAATATCTACCTCCCAGATTGTTTCTAAAGAATAAATGAGATAATAAACATAAAGCACTTAATTCAGTGCCTGACCCCATTGATAGTGCCCAATAAACAGAGCTCCCTATTACTTTGAATGCAAAAATACAAACACTTTATTGCTTTTATGATACAAACAATATGTCTAACAGGAGTAGAATAAATGCAGTGGTTTACTTTGTAGTGGGCAAAGTGGACTAATTTTCACATGCTCTCATAATTGAAAATGTTTTCCTACTTTGTTTCAAAGGACAGTCTTCTAGTGATTCTAGTATGTTCACATAGCAATAACAGACTTAGTGGTTTTGTTATACATTGTCTGGAAGGGCAGCATTTAAGTGCTGTTAAAGCATAGAGTAGGACTTTGACTATTCTGCGTTGGAGCTCAGATGATTTATGTCCTGATTTCAAATTTCCAAACAGTCCAAAATAAAATGAAGCTCAAAGAGACAGTTTCTTTGTTAACTATCCAAATTCTCAGAGGTTTCTTCTCCAAATCCAATCAGGTGACAGTGCTGAAGAATTAAAAATAATAGCACTTTCATCTGGTCATGAATATTTCTAAATAGTTTGAGATTTCATTGTGTCTTTGAATATTCTATAACTATAGACTTCTCTCCTTTTCCCACCCCCACCCCCACCCAAGGCCCAAGGCTCTATGAGAGAGACAGAAGTTATATGGCATTTCTTGCCTTATCTTTACTGTAGTAAGATAAAAGCAAAGGTCTCCCTTTTTCCATCCTTTTCATTCATTCATTCACTTATTTTAAAGAACGGTTAATGAGCTCACATTAAGCTATAGTTTGGGGGTATATACCAGTGATTCAAAATAGATGTGACTTCTACCCTCTACTCTCATCCAGTTTTCACTCTGGGGCTTCATTCAGCTTTGAGAAGTTCTCAGCCCTTGATGATAATAAATGTATCCTTTTCCCAATAATTCAGGCTTCAAACTGAGGAAGCGGCGTATTACCAATGAGCCCACTGGAGGCTCTGGGGGGACTGGAAACTGCCCTCACTTACTGGAAGCCATTCCCTGTGAAGAGCCATCCTGCTATGACTGGAAAGCAGTGAGGCTCGGAGACTGCGAGCCAGATAATGGGAAGGAGTGTGGTCCGGGCACTCAAGTTCAAGAGGTTGTGTGCATCAACAGTGATGGTGAGACAGATGTATCTACTGTGTTTTTATGAATGTGTTTTTAACCCTGGAGATATGCTCTTACCTTATGTTAAAATGTTGTTTCTTCTCTCATTGTAACTGGTTCCATTTACAAACATAGAAATAGCTGCTTCTCTCTTTCTCTCTTTCTCCCTTTCTAATGGTATCAGTGGAGAGGTTCCATGAACAGTCACAGGGTATTTTTAAATTAGAAAACAGAATAGATGATGTAGAATAAGAATGAAATCATCAGAACTAGAATATATTAAACTGCCAAATTTAAAAATAATCAAGAAAGGTAACATTTTCCTAAGCGATATTTTTTTATTTGCCTTAGAAAATGAAATGTAAATAAAGAAGGGTAGTAAGGGTTGGTTGGCTTAATTCTGGAAGTTGTTTTTTGTTGTTGTTTTTTCCTCCCCGATGTTTTATCTTAGTGGTATAATTTAATTTCCAGGCTCCCAAGCCGGGAGGTCTATCACAGCAGAGTTCCTGAATCAGCCTTCTCCTATTCTCTAGGGGTCTCCCCTCTAGGAATGTCATAGAGATACTGCAGGTGGTTTTCCACAAGGTTCTTTTCTCCAACCACTGGAATTACCTTGGACTTTTACAATGTATTTTTGTTTGATATAATATTCTGTCTTGACATTAGCTCAACATGCGAGTTTTACATTCTTCCCAGGAGTGCTGCTACTGTTTTGGGGAAAATCCCTTATCCCTCAGCAATCCCTCAATCACTCTTAGGAACCATAATAGGACTCCCCCAGGCACAGTTTAAAACCTCTGGACAAGATCATCCCTAAGGTTCCTTCTAACTCTCGAATCCTGTGACTCTGCACATCAGAGAAGCATGAGCACTAAACCTCAGGGTCCCATTCTTTGACAGGTGATGCTATTTACAGCATGTGCAGAAACATGCTGGTGTCCCCTCAGGGGTACAGTAACATCTGGTAACTGTCATAATTCCTTTCATCCTATTTTCTTCCAGCATGTAGAATTGTTTCCTTCTGTGACTCAGTCACTGTTCAGTAGTAAAGAAAGATACTCTCTGGGGTGGGAGATTGACACGCACTGCACTTACTGAGAAATTAGCCTTTTGTCTTTGTCCGGGATCTAAGGTAGCCATGCTGAACAGTGTTAAGTAAAATCTGGACTGGCATTCGAAGTCGAAATGTGAAGAAGGGGAATTATTGCTCCAGATCTTTTATGATGAATTTTATGTATTCTGCTTCTTTTCTAGGAAGGTATAATCAGCTATGATGCATTCTCTCTTTAGCTTTTCCCTGTTCGACTCTAAAAAGAAAGAAAAAGAGGAGAAAGTAACACTCAAGAGATTGGCATCTAGGAAAAGAAAGCAAAAGCAGCATATTCTGCTTTTCTTTTACCCATATTTCCAATCTTAATTTGGATTAGATGGTACTCTATATTATGTTCGGAATTGGTATAAAAACAGTTAGGATCATATTTAATTCTTTACTGATACTGATTCTTAACTTTTTTTTTTTCCTCTCAATACAAATAATTTTTCTTGTCCATCTATAGACCAGGGGAGGAATTAGGGCCCTAGAAAAAGTATTGCAAAAAGTATATAAGATATATTTGAGTGAAGCAAAAAACTAAAATGAAAAGTAAATTGTGCATATAACTTCTACCTCGATGCAATCCAATGCAAAATCAGATTTAGTTTACTTAGTGCAATGATCTTCCTGGATATTTGTGCAAATTGAGTATATTTTATATAAACTAGAGGAGCCAGCTATTTAAAAAATATCAGTGATTTATTTTAATTTTGTCAGGTAAAAATTTTTTACTTTCTTTTTAATTTTTTAAATTTAGTTTGATTTTTATTGAAATGTAATTGATTGTACATATGTGTGGGGTACAGAGTTGAGTATCAATACCTGTGTGCAATATGTGATGCTCAAATCAGGATAGTTAGTATATTCAACATCATACAATGTAATAATTTTTTGCACCCCTTTACCAATTTCTCAGTATTATAACACAAATATTTGCTTCTAAATTGTCTAGTGAAACACTAAAAAACAAGCAGAGGTATGAGTTAGATATATCTAGTTGTCCTGAAAAGCAATGTATGTTGTAGTCTAAAAAACAAATTGATAATTCACAATGTACATAGGCTGGTTTCACTTTGTCTACTTCACAGACAGAATGAATTGAGAAACATAAGAAGTATACAACTGATATTCAGTTCGTTATTATTGTTCTTTACGAGGACATCTCTTCCATCACTAAATTTTACCTCCTACATTAATTCGTTGTAGGGCAACTTAATACTTTAACTGGCTTAACTACAGGGGTATATAAAACTAAGGGAATTTTTTTTTATTATAAATCCTAGTGGCTGGTCAAATTTGTGTATAGCTGAGACATAATTGTGCCAGCAAAAGCTGGAGACCTGTAAATATCATTCCAATATTATCATGTGGTCACCTGGCAAGTTTTTAGCAGCTGCACCAAATGTTGTTTTGTAATTAAATCGGGCCCAGGGAATTAAAGTTGATTAGATGTACAGACTCTACCTCTAGGCCTGGGCTGTGGCTTAGATTTTGTTTCATAATTAAGCTAAGGCTCAACTAGGGACCTGAAGAATTAGAGCCTGTGAACCTACCAAATAATAAAAAGACTTCTTTTCTCCCACATTAGTCACAAATTTTACAACTTTGTTAATGACCTCAAAGCATTTAAAGTCTCTATTTTTCCCCTGAAATATACTCTGTCCAGGCTCACAGAGATCATTAGGATTTGCTGCTGTTGTTCATTATTACAGTTGTCTGCTAAGTAGCAGGGCTGGGGAAGAGCTGTGAGAGCACCCATGAAGACTTTCACATGGATTCTCTGACAGACAGGGGATTGTAACAGAATTACGAAACAAAAGAGAGCTCAAAAGCCAATTAGACTCTCCAAAAAGAGATAAACATTTTATGTGTAATAGAAAAAATATTGCTCATAATTTAAAGATCGTCGGAAAACCAATTCCCGATCTCTGAGCACAAATGCAAGAACTATTCTGAAAGTCTGTGAGGCTGGTGAGAATCCTAGAGGATGTTATACCTATGAATAATACCCAAAACTTACCCTGTTTTAGTTTCTGTGGCACTTATATTTTAAAGGTGTAGATTTGGCAAGGTAAGTGTGTTTTGTTTCCCAAATTAGTTGGTTAGAAGCAGCACAAAGCAAGGCTATTAGGCTGGAGATGGAGGAAAAAATTATTCTTATTTATTGCTTGAATCTGTAAACCAAATATTATTTCCATGTTTCCTTTCCATCTGTCGAAAAAAATAAATAAATGATGCCATCCATATTTCCTTACCTTATGCTCTATTTCACATATCAGCATATCAGAGTATTGACATCTTCTCTTACGAATTTCAGAAACTCAGTTTTATTATTTTGTCTTCTGTGTTATTGTGTAAAGCTGTGAAGCTCGGCAGTTTCAAATGCCTGCACTGCTGTGCTACCTTCCTTATTTTTTTTCCACATTAGTAAAAGTTAACATATAACTAATGACGTTGAAATGTACAACTTACTTTCATACTTGACTCGGATAGCTATGAAACCAAAAAATAGTATTGTTATAAGTCTGTGCTCTAACCAACTGAGCTAACTGGCCAGCCCAAAGAACATAGTATTGTTATGGGAGTAAATCACTGTAATTCATGTTTGCACCTCCATTAGCGGTGCAGTACTAATTTACAGAATCATCAGTCATGACCATGAGTGTATGGTGCCATTCTCGAATGGGGGTAACTGTTCACCAAAGACTCGCAGCATCACAGCAAACTGGCTGGATTCTAGCAATGCTGAAGAATGTGACTAAGGGCATGTTGAGATTAGCACTGAAGCAAGCCTTTAAAGCAAGTTTTTCTGCCTCTTTTGAGAAATATTTCTGCATGTCATCGGAAGTGCCAAAAGAACTGACTGTGAAAATACTTAGGGGAAGATGACTTTAATATCCAGGGCCCTGGCTTATCATGTGATTGTCTAATCTTTCTGTAATTTTTGCCACCAATTCCTTCTGGAATGGGATATGTACTCCGCATGTGAATAGAGGAAAAGTGAGAACTGAATACTATTTCTTTCCCAAGTAGCTCATGTCATACTTTTTTGTATATAGTCAGTATTAAGAAAAATATAAAGTAAAAAATTAAAAGATAAAAAGGGATCCCAGGCAATCCAAGCTGGCCAGAAACACTGTCCATTAGAGGAAGATATCCAATTATAGGGCAAAGGAGTATAAATGTTGTGTAAACTAAAGGGAACATAAAACATAATAGTGTCTTCTACACTACAGAGGAATGCTTGTGAGGATATGCAGTTTTCCAGTTTAGGAAAATGCTTTGATGGGACATTTTGGTTAACAGATGTGTGGTACTCTCTATATTGCATGCCTAATAACAAGAGAAAAAAGAGCTGAGTTTTTCTGCAAAATAAAACGGAATTTTTAGGTTAGCTCTGGCAGTATGGGGAAAGATGTATGGAATCTAGGAATGGTAAAGGAAGATGGGAGAAGAATTTGAGAGTAGAGGTGAGAGTCTGGGGAAAAAGGTGAGATCTTAAAAAAGGAAAAAAAAAAAAAAAAAAAAAAAAAGCCTGAGGAGGGCCACAGCTAACTAGAAATATCCCTTGGTATGAAACAGGTGATTCGGTCTTTCGGGTTTGTTTAGGATAGTACCCTTTTCTTGAGGTCATTATTAATAGCACCCCCTTTTGTTCTTAAAAGTGCCTTGCTTTGAACAATAAGTGATATAATCACCTTAGAAGGACTGGTAAATTTTAGGACAAATGAAGAAATAAATTGGAACCAAAGGTATTGGGAGAAATATTAGCTCCATGAAAATCCTTGGAAAAAATTGAGAGGGAGGGTCCACTGCAACTTAGTAGATTCCTGGATTCCCCAATGGAATTTAAATAATTCTATTTGGATTTTAATGGAAAAGTTAACTTCAGAATGCTGGAAAACCTTAAAACACCCAAGC